TTGTACCAAAAGCTTACTTAAACCGAAATTTAAACTGCTTTAATTGTCAGTAACTGTTAACCACACACACACACACACACACACACACACACACACACACACACACACACACACACACACACACACACACACAATTCAAAGTACAATCTTCATATGATGAACTGTACACACACACACACACACACACACACACACACACACACACACACACACACACACACAACACACAATCGATATATACACACACACACACACACACATATATACACACACACACACACACACACACACACACACACACACACACACAGTTGCATTAAATTTCGGGAGAAAATAAAGACAAAAATTGTCCAACATCATGAATTTACGACCTGCGTCTGCTATTCCGTGACCGTTATCGTTGCATAGCAATCTTCTATGTCACCATAACGGAATATCATCTTGATGGTGAATATCTTTGTTTAAATGTTCGTATAACCACTCTGAAGATGGCTCATGAACCGAAAGCTTAGATTATGGAACAGCTTTATAAAAAAATGTCCAAATGTTGAACAATTTTTGACTTTATTTTCTCCCGAAATTAAAGCAAACATGCAAAGTTTAGAACGGTTCATGATCAAACATAATAGACATTCGTTGTCTGTTATATTTAACAATATATCTTTGAATAATGATCATCTGCCAAAGTACTATCTATCTATCTATCTATCTATCTATCTATCTATCTATCTTCTATCTATCTATCTATGTCTGTGTGTGTGTGTGTGTGTGTGTAAATGTCGTGTTTGCGACCCAGCTAAGTAATTAACCTGATAATTACTTCTTTTATTTCCAATTCCAATTTTTCTTTCGACAGTCGCCAAGTTGTCATGAAATCAGCTCTGAAACAGGTTTATAGTTTCGACTATCGGCTGAAATTAATACCCCTGTTCACCAATATGTTTAGTACAGTGTTCTTCAGTCATCTAATTATCCTTAATATTATTTAATATTGCATCAACTTGGTTCATTTAAATTTGTCCTCAACAGTCATCAGAAACAGATGTTTGCTGGTTAACTTTCAGCGCTATGAATCCAAATTAAATTAAATTTGACAAACAAAAGCTATAAAAACGAATACACACCCTTGTGCAAATTAATTGAAACAACTGCTTTAGCTTTTTTTTTTCCCATACGGTCATTTTTAGATCCACTGGAGGACACGTTGTAATCGATTTCTATATTTTTCCTCAGATTAGGTCATTTTCAGAAGCGTGCAGTAATATGAATCTATTTTCGTGATGTATGATGAAATTTGTTTAGCCTTGAAAATATTGCCCATCCGTGACTGCATCAGATTTTCATCACGCCAGACACTATTGTCTCGACTGTCAATTAGTTGTCCTACGGCCATTGTCTGTGATGGGCGTTACTCCAAGAAAGTGTACAAAAATTGCACGAACACACTGGCAAGCCTTACTTTAAATCAAAGTACTAGAGACTGGCCCGGGAACTCTCCTGATTTAAATCCAGTCACGAATCTGTGGTCAATCTTCTAGGAACGGCTTCGTGGAATGGACACACGAGGTACTAACGTATTCACTAGGTCAAGCTTCATTGGAAAAATACGAAACAAAAAGTAAATAATAACGGAATTATTCGTATTGTTCCAATTAATTTGCACAAGTGTGTAGTACCAAACAGTCAGAAATGGAAAAGAGATATAGTATTCGATTATGGTGGGGAACACTTGTACAGAACCAAACAAATTTTTTTTAAAGAACTGAATACAGAGAAGTGGTGGAAATAGAGTGCCAAAAAATCCTTAAAAATCCCTCCTTAGAAATAAAATGAAGATATACCAAGAGAGAAATTCGCAACAGAGAAAAATGTAAAAGAGAATCGTAATAGCCTCATTCTTTCCATGTAAAAAAAAGCTTAACAGTCATGGAAATAAATAATAATGAGATGATTAAATTAAAAAAAATTAATTTTGACAGACAAAAGCTAAAAAAGAGAATGTAAACGATTTTTTAGAATACGAAAACTAAATAGTACTCAGAAATCAACCACAAACTGTTTTTGTTGATAAATATTGTTTTATTCTTTTTTCGGCTTTTAAAAAATATGAAAACTTTTAACAAAAGAAGATTTGAAAAAAATTTTGTTGAAATTTCAGATTAGAGAGATAAAAATAGAGAAAAATCATTATTAAGATAAACTTAAAATCATTATGAACGTGATTTTTTAAAAAATTGCAAATTTTAAATGAATGAAATTTAAAGAGAATCTTCATGTTTTAAAAAGAGAGTTTCTTTTGTTCTTTTTCTTTTCAAAAGGGATATCTGAATCATAAATTTATTTCCATTATAGAAAATATTTTAAAAGTTTAACTGTATGTAAATCGTGTGGATTTCCGGTCGTAAAATCGACGCGAGCCGTTGAGTCGCGCCTACCAGGGATCCTAATCACGGTAGAAGAAAGGAAAAAGAGAGAGAAATGGAAAAGAGAGAAGGTCAGGAGATTCTATTCCTAAGAACCGACAACCTGCAAATAGGATTTGATTATAATGGAAGGTTTAATGCATAACCAAAAAAACTGGAAAAGCCGAATATTGAGTTGCTTGAGAAAATGTCCCAAAGGACCCTTTCAGGTTTTGAAATTAAGAGTCCTTCAGAAATGGAAATATTTACCCATGAAAAAGTAGGGAATGGAAAGAAGAAGAGGATGCATGCATTGCATTCAAAAAGTAACGGAGTAACGGAAATCGATTAGAATTTGAACTCGGCTTGGCCGATTCCTCAACCCGAGTTGCTAACCATTAAAAGAGAACCGGAATAAGAAAAGAAAATAAATAAAATGAGAAAAATGGTAAATCGAAAGAATATATTAAAGAGAGAAAGAAATTGAGGATATAGGCGTATATTATGGATAAATTACAGAGAAAAAATGAGAGAGATATATAGATAGATAGAAATGAAAGATAGAGATAGATAAATAGGAGAGAAATGAGGGAGGAGAGAGAAATAGAGAGAGAAAGAGGAAAGAGAGAGAGAAATGAAATTGATGAAGTTAAAAAGAAAAATAAAATGAAAAGAGAGAACAAAATATACTTTCGCTTATTCTGTCTCTTTAAAAGATGAAACAAATCCTTCAGAAAAGAGAAACTTTTGTGATCTAATGACATTTTTTAAATTTTATGATGCAATGATTTTGGAAAAGATAAAAGAAATTTCCTGATTTTATATCCTTCTAGGCACATATATTACATCCATCCAAAAAATATTACAGCCAACAAAAACCGATTTCGTAAGGAAATATACTGAGAAGGGCAGGAAAGCAAAAAATAGAAATATGAAAAAGAGAGAGAAATTGCATAAAAGAGAAAATAAAGATATTTTCCCTAACAAAATTACATGTGGACCAAGAAAATGTAGGTTAAAAAAGACAAACGCAGACAAGAGAAACCAAAAAGAGAAGAGAATAAAAGAGAAAGAGAATGGTTGTAAAAAATGGAAGAGAATAAAAGAGAAAGAAATGAAAAAGTTATATAAATGAAAAAGAGAAAGAAAAAGTAAAAAATGGAAATACAGAGAGAAAAGAAAAAGAGAAAAATGGAAAACTGTCGGTAAAAAAATTTAGAGAATAAAAAAAGAGAGAAAAATTTTATATGAAAAAAAGAGAGAAAAAAATACAAACACATACAAGAGAAGAAAAGGAAGAATAAAATTCTGTCGGTAAAAAGCAATAGAGAATTGTTTCCATTTTCAAGAAATGGAGATGATTTTTAAATATGAAGAAATTCCTGTAAGAAAAAAATATAAATGAGACATAAAAGCCAAAAAAAGGAAGGATAAACTGTCGGTAAAAAAGAAAGAGAAATAAAAGAGAAAGAGAAATTTTATAAATGAACCAAAGAGAGAAAAGTAAAAAATACAAAAAACATAGAAAATATGGTAAGGAAGGATAAAACTGTCGAAAAAAAGCAAAAGAGAAAATAAAAGAGAAATGGAATTTTTTTATATATGAAACCAATTCCTGTAAGAGAAAAATACAAACACAAATAAAGTAGAGAGAAAATGGAAAGGAAGGATAAAATGTCGGTAAAAAAGCAAATAGAGAATAAAAGAGAAATGGAAATTTTTATATATGAAACCAAAAAGAAATAAAAAAAATACAAACACATAAAGAAAGCAAAGGAAGGATAAAAAAGTCGGTAAAAAGCAATAGAGAATAAAAGAGAAAATGTTTCCATTTTATATATGAACCAATTCCTGAAATGGAAGTAAAAAAAATAGGTAATGTATTTAAATTAAAAATGAAAGGAAGGATAAAATGTCGAAAAAAAGAGAAAATGAGAAAAAAGAGAAATAGTAGTTTCGACATTCATTTTTATAATATGAACCAATTCCTGAAAGTAAAAAATATAAAAACAAATTAAAGCCAAAGAGAGAAGGAAATTTAAAAATGTCGGTAAAAAGTAATAGAAATAAAAAAGAGAAATGGAACATTTTTATATATGAAGAAATGGAAAATAGAAAAAAAAATTAAAACACATACAATTGAAAAGGAAAAGAAGAAGGATAAAAAAAGTCGGTAAAAGCAATAGAGAATAAAAGAGAAATGGAAAATTTTAGAAATGAAAAGAGAAATTCAAGAAAAAAAAAATACAAAAGACATAGTAAGCCAAAGCAAAGGAAGGATAAAATGTCGGAAAAAAAAATTAAATATGGTAGATAAAAGAGAAATGGAAATTTTTATAATGAAATGAGAGAGAAATGTAAAAGAAAAAAATGGAAAAGAGAAGAATTTAAATGAAAGGAAGGAAAAAGAGAGTCTGAAAAGTAGAAGAGAAATTCAAAAAAGAGAAAGGAAATTTTTATATATGAACCAATATAGAGAGAAAAATACAAAACATAGAGAGCCAAAGCAAAAAAGGATAAAACTGTTTGGTAAAAAAGAAAAAGAGAATAAAAGAGAAAATGAAAACAGAGAGATATGAAACAATTATTCAATGTTCAGTAAAAAAATACAAACAGATAGAAAGCCAAAGAGAAAATTAAAATGAGAAAACTGTCGGTAAAAAAGAATAGAGAAAAAAGAGAAATGAAAAGAGAAAATTTTATGATATGAAAAAATGAAAGAGAAATAGAAAAAAAAATAAAAATTGAGAAAAAGAAAGAGAAAAGGAATGGAAAAAAGAGAAAATTTAAAAAGAGAAAAGAGAAATAAAAAAGAGAAATGAAAAGAGAGAATATATGAAAAAATTCCTGAAATGAAAAAAAATACAAAAATAAAAGCCAAAAATTAAAAGGAAGATAAAACTGTCGGTAAAAAATTAAAAGAGAAATAAAAATGAAAATGAGAAAATTTTTATAAAAAGAGAAATGTAAAAAAGAAAGAAAACAAATAAAGAGAGAAAAGAAAAGAAGATAAAACTGTTTTGGCAAGAAAGAAAAGAGAATAAGAAAATGGAAAAGATTTTTATATATGAAATGTATTGAAATTTAAAAAAGAGAGAAAAAAATAAAAGCCAAAAATGGAAAGAAGATAAATGTCGGTAAAAATAAATAGAGAAATAAAAAGAGAAATGGAAATTTTTTAGATATGAAAAGAGAAATGAAAGTAAAAGAATAAAATGGAAATGAAGAAAGAAAAAAAAAAGAAAAATGTCGGTAAAAGAAATGGAAAAGAGAATAAAAGAAAAAAAATGAAAAAGAGAGGAATATATGAAGAAATGGAATTCCTTTAAGAAAAATAAATGGAAAAAAATGATATGGTAAAAGAAATAAATTAGGAAAAAACTGTGGTAAAAGAAAAGAGAATGAAAAGAGAGAAATGGAAATTTTATCAAAATGAAAAATTCCTGAAGAAAAAAATACAAACACATACAAGCCAAAGAAAGGAAGGAAAAAGAAAGAAAAAGCAAAAGAAGAAATAGAAACATTTTTAAATGAAAAGAGAGAAATGGAAAAAAAAGAAATGGAAATACAAGAAATGGAAAAATAAAAAGAGAAAAAAAGAATAGAGAATAAAAGAGAGAAATGGAAATTTTTAAATGAATTCAAAGAGAAAATTCCAAGAGAGAGAGAATATAAAGGGCTTCAAAGAAAAATGGAAAGAAGAAAAAAAATGAGAAAAATGCCAAAAGGAAGAAAAAAGAGAAGAAAAATTTGCATGAGAGAAATGAAATAAAAAAAGAAAAAGAAATGGAAAAGAGAGAAAAGGAAAGCAAGAGAATAAAAAAATGAAAAATAAAATATGAAATGTAAGAAAATAAAAAAAGAGAAACAAAAGAGAGAAAATGGAAAGGAAGAGAGAAAAAAAGAGAATGTCGGTAAAAAAGAAAAGAGAAATAAAAAAGAAAGAAAATTTTAATGAGAGAGAAAAGGAAAGTAAAAAATAAAAAATAGAGAAATGGAAAAGTAGAGAGAAAAAGGAAAAGAGAAAAAATGGAAAAAAAGAAATGAAAAGAAATAAAGAGAAATATCAAAAAAAGAGAAATCTGAAATAGAGAGAAACAATTTTCAGAGAAATTGTTTCCAATTTCAAATAAAGAAATATAAAAAAAGAGAAATGGAAGGAGAAACTTAAAAAAAAAAATGAATAAAATGAAAGAGAAATAAAAGAAAATGGAAAAAGATTTTATGATTGAAAAAAGAAATAAAAAAAAAAATAGAAAAAGACATTCAATTTTCAGAAATGGAAGAGAGGAAATTTTCAAAGAGAGAAATGGAAAAAAGAGAAAAAAAAAAATAGAAATAGAAATATTTAAAGAAAAAAAAATGATGAAAAAAAAAAAAAAAAAGAGAAATGGAAAAGAGAATAAAACTGCATGAATGTATCAAAAAAAAAGAGAGAGAAAATAAAAGAGAAATGACATTCAAGAGAAATGAAAATTGAGAAAGAAAGGAAAAGTAAGAAATGAAAAATAGAAGGAAAAGCAAAAAGATTAAAATGGAATGGTAGATGTATTTAAATTAAAAGAATGAAAATGAAAATTTTATAAATGAAAATTCCTGTAAGAAAAGAAAATAATTTGAATGATTGTAAAGGAAATAAAAGTGAGAAAAAAAATAGTAGAGAATATTCAATTTTCAGCTCAATTTTTTATTTCCAAATGGAAAAAAAAAAAATAAAATGTAAAGAGAAATGGAAATAAATGAAATGGATTTAAATTTAATTAAAATAAAAAAGAAATGAAAAATCGAAAGAGAAAAAAAAGAAAATGAAAAGAGAATAATTTGCATGATTGTATCAAATAAAAAAAAGCCGTCTGAAATAGTAGAAATGACATTCAGAGGTAAAATAAAAAGTCGGAGAAATTGTTTCGAGATTTTCAAAAAATAGAAATATATAAGGCTTCAAATAAATTAAATATGAGAGATGTATTTAAATTAAAAAAAAATGATGTAAATGAGAGAAATAAAAGAAAATGGAAAAGAGAAGAATTTGCATGATTGTATCAAATAAAAGTGAGAAATGAAAAAGTAGTTTCGACATTCAATTTTCAGCTCTTCAGAATTGTTTCCATTTTCAAAAAGGAAATATAAAGGGCTTCAAAAAAATTAAATATGGTAGATGTATTTAAATTAAAAAAATGATGTAAAAAGAGTGAGAAATAAAAGAGAGAAATGAAAAAGAATAATTTGCATGATTGTATCAAATAAAAGTGCCGTCTGAAATAGTAGTTTCGACATTCATTTTTCAACTCTGCAATTGTTTCCAATTTCAAAAGAGCAAATATAAAGGAAAAAATAAAATTAAATATGGTAGATGTATTTAAATTAAAAAAAAAAGATGTAAAAATGCGTGAGAAAATAAAAAAGAAATGGAAAAAAAGAGAATAATTTGAATGAAAAGAAATCAAATAAAAAAAGAGTGCCAAATGAAAATAGTAGTTTCGACATTCAATTTTCAAAGAGAGGCAATTGTTTCCAAATTTCAAAGAAGACAATAAAGGGCTTCAAAAAAAATTAAAATGGAAATGGTAGAGAAATGAAATTAAATTAAAAAAAATGAAAAAAAAGAGAGAAAAAAAAGAGAGAAAATGAAAAGAGAATAATTTGCATGATTGTATCAAATAAAAAAGTGCCGTCTGAAATAGTAGTTTCGAAATTCAGAGAGAAAATGAGAGAGAAAAATTGTTTTCCAATTTCAAAAAAAAAAATGGAAATATAAAGGAAAACAAAAAAAGAAATATGGTAGATAATATTTAAATTAAAAAAAAATGAAAAAAAAATATGTGAAAATAAAAGAGAAATGGAAAAAGAAATGAGAAGAATTGCATGATTGTATCAAATAAAAGTGAGAAATGAAATAGTAGAGAGACATTCAATTTTCAACTCTTAAAATTGTTTCCCAATTTCAAAAAAACAAATAGATAAAAAAAAAAAATAAATTAAATATGGTAGATATTTTAAATAAAAAAAAATGATGAAAAAGAGTGAGAAAAAAAAAAAGAGAAATGGAAAAAGAGAAGAATTTGAATGATTGTAATCAAAAAAAGTGCCGTCTGAAATAGTAGTTTCGACATTCATTTTCAGCAAGAGAAAATTGTTTCCAATTTCAAAAAAAAAAATATAATGGAAAACAAATAAATTAAATATGGTAGATGAGGAAAATAAAAAAAAAGAGATGAAAAATGATGAGAGAGAAAAAAAGAAAATGGAAAAGAGAAGAGAAAAGGCATGATTGTATCAAATAAAAGTGCCGTCTGAAATAAAAGAGTTTCGACATTCAAAGAGAGAGAAATGGAAATGTATTTCCAATTTTCAAAAAAAAACAAATGAAGGAAAACAAATAAATTAAAATGGTAGATGGTTTAAATTTAAAAAAATGATGTAAAGAAAAAAAAAAAAAAAAATAAGAAAAAAAAAGAGAGAATTTGAATGATTGTATCAAATAAAAGTGCCGTCTGAAATAGTAAAAGACATTCAATTTTCAAAGAGAGAAATTAAATTAAAGAGAGAAAAAAAAAAAGAAAATGGAAATGAAAGAAAAAAAAAATAAATATGGTAAATATTTAAATTAAAAAAAGAGATGAAAAAAGAGAGAAATAAATAAAAGAAATGGAAAAGAGAGAATAATTTGAAATGAAAGTATCAAATAAAAGTGCCGTCTGAAATAGTAGTTACGACATTCAAAAACCTTTAAAATTGTTTTTGCAGAGAAAAAAAAATATAAAGGGCTTCAAATAAAGAAAATATGGTGGATGAATTTAAATTAAAAAGAGGAATGTAAAAGAGAGTGAGAAAATAAAAGAGAAATGGAAAAGAGAAGAATTTGGATGTTTGTATCAAATAAAAAGTGAGAAATCTGAAATAGTAGTTTCGACATTCAATTTTCAAAAGAGATAATTGTTTCCAATTTAAAAAAAGACAAATAATGAGGAAAAAAAATAAATTAAAAATGGTAGATGTATTTAAATTAAAAAAAATGAAAAAAAGTCAGAAAAAAAGAAAAAGAAAAAAAAAATAATTTGCATGATTGTATCAAATAAAAGTGCCCTCTGAAATAAGTAGTTTCGACATTCAATTTTCAACTCGAAAAATTGAGAGAAATTTTCAAAAAGAAAAGAAATAAAAGGCTTCAAATAAATTAAATATGGTAGATGTATTTAAATTAAAAAAAATGATGTAAAATGCGTGAGAAAAAAGAAGATGGAAAAAAAGAGAATAATTTGCATGATTGTATCAAATAAAAAGAAATGGTCTGAAATAGTAGTTTCGACATTCAATTTTCAAAGAGAGAATTGTTTCCATTTTCAAAAAAAAACAAATATAGGGAAAAAATAAATTAAATATGGTAGATGTATTTAAATTAAAAAAAATTAATGTAAAAAAGAGAAAAAAAAAAGAGAAATGGAAAAGAGAAATGAATTTGCATGATTGTATCAAATAAAAAAGTGCCGTCTGAAATAGTAGTTTCGACATTCAATTTTCAGAGGCAATTTGTTCCCAATTTCAATTAAAAAAAGAAATATGAAAGGAGAAAAAATAAAGAAAATATGGTGAGATGTATTTAAATTAAAAAAATGAAAAAAAGAGAAATGAAAAAAAAGAAAAATGGAAAGAGAAATAAATTGAAAAATTGTATCAAATAAAAGTGCCGTCTGAAATAGTAGAGACATTCAAATTTCAGAAATGGAAAAGAGAGAATTTTCAAAAGAAAAAAAATAAAGAAAGGAAAAAGAAAGAAAAATGAAATTAAAAATTCAAAGAAATTTAAAAAAAAAAAAAAAAATGAGAGAAATGAAAAAGAAAAGAAAAAAAAAGAGAGAAAATGGAAATTGTATCAAATAAAAAGTGCCGTCTGAAATAGTAGTTTCGAATTCAAAAGAGAGAGAAATAAATTGTTTCCAATTTAAAAAAACAAAAAAGAGGAAATAAATTAAAGAAAATGGAAATGAGATTTAAATTAAAAAAAAATAATGAAAAAAAAATGTCAGAAAATAAAAGAGAAATGGAAAAGAGAATAATTTGCATGATTGTATCAAATAAAAGTGCCGTCTGAAATAGTAGTTTCGACATTCATTTTCAAATTTCAATGTTGAGCAATTGTTTCCATTTTCAATGGAAAATGCAGAGATAAAAAAATGAAAAAAATAAAAAAATATGGTAATAATTTAAATTAAAAAAAAAAATAAAAAAATGAGAGAAAATAAAAAAAGAGAAAATGGAAAAGAGAAAATGAATAATTTGCATGATTGTATCAAATAAAAGTGAGAAATGAAATAGTAGTTTCGAATTCAATTTTCAGAAAATTTAATTGTTTCCATTTTTTAAAAAAGAAATATAAATGGAAAAATAAAAAGAAATATGGTAATGTATTTAAATTAAAAAAATGATGAAAAATGCGGAGAAAATAAAAGAGAAATGGAAAAAATAGAGAAGGATTTGCATGATTGTATCAAATAAAAGTGCCGTCTGAAAAGTAGTTTCGACATTCAATTTTCAGAGAGAAAATTTGTTCCATTTTCAAATAAAAGAAAAGATAAAGGGCTTCAAATAAATTAAATATGGTAGATGTATTTAAATTAAAAAAAAAAATGTAAAATGCGTGAGAAAAAAAAGAAAATGGAAAAGAATAATTTGCATGATTGTATCAAATAAAAGTGCCGTCTGAAATAGTAGTTTCGACATTCAATTTTCAGCTTTAAAATTGTTTCCCAATTTTTAAAAAACAAATATAAAGGGAAATAAAAAAAAAAATATGGTAAATGATGTAAATAAATTAAAATGGAAATGATGAGAAAAATGGAAAAATAAAAAGAAATGGAAAAGAATTTTCAGAAATTGAATGAAAAATAAAAGTGCCGTCTGAAATAGTAGTTTCGACATTCAATTTTCAGAGAGAAATGGAAATGAGAGAAAAATTTAAAAAAAAAAAAAATAAAGAGAGAAATGGAAAAATAAATTAAATATGGTAGATGTATTTAAATTAAAAAAAATGATGTAAAAAAGAGTGAGAAAAAAAGAGAAATGGAAAAGAGAATAATTTGCATGAATTGTATCAAATAAAAGTGCCGTCTGAAATAGTAGTTTCGACATTCAATTTTCAGCTCGGGCAATTGTTTCCATTTTCAAAAAAGAAATATGAGGAGAGAAAATAAATTAAATATGGTAGATGTATTTAAATTAAAAAAAAAAATGAAAAAAATGCGTGAGAAATAAAAGAGAAATGGAAAAGAGAAAAATTTGCAAGAGAGTATCAAATAAAAATGCCGTCTGAAATAGTAGTTTCGACATTCAATTTTCAGCTCGGACAATTGTTTCCAAAAAAAAAAAAAATATAAAGGGCTTCAAATAAATTAAATATGGTAGATGATT